ATCTCAAATTTAATAAGAATGATATAGTACAAGTGTAAACAAAATACATCTTAATTGACAATATTTAAAATATTACAAAAAATAAAATGGGGTTAAAAGGCTATATAGAAAGAATTCAAGATCCTTAAGCCTTGGTAGTCTTTTCCTTTCCTGCACCAGAGCTAGAGCCCGTAAAATATTGAAAGAGGAGGGTGAGTCTAACCACTTAGTAACCAAAGTACACTTACCATATGCAGTTATATATCAATTGATTTAAACACATATAAAGGGGGGTTAATCACCCAAAATATGCTATTACATATGACACACAAATTATCATTTCTCAAATTAATTCATTTACATGTTTCGCATCTCAATTCATTGAGTACATTGCCAGAAGATACAAAGACACATGATAATAACCCAATTCATTTGTTTCTTGCTCATTGTCACAATATAGACAACTATATGATAATAGCATATTTTCTATCACGACTTGTCACAAACTAAATAACCATGTAACACGTCAGATAAATACATATGCACGATTAATTTCACTTTATATCCTCCTTATATCTTTCAACTGAAATTGTAGGCTATAATATCAAACAAGGCTTTGTCTGTGTGACTAGATTACTCAAGCTCACTAATTGTAAGGTTTAACTCGGCCACAGATCACAGAACTCACTTTTAAATCACGGTTTCCTCCATTATCAAATCTCTAAGATGTCATATACCTTAAGCTAATCTCTTCTATAAATAGGTAAAGATAGCTAAGTTCTAGTCCCTTAACAAACAGTAGGATAAGGTTATGCTTTCGTGCACCGGAAGACAGCTGTATATACCATATAGATTTTATCTACTCCTCTCCCCAGGCTAATTCCTGCCAATTAATCATGCAATGTACAATGCTCATTCATTTCATAATTTCATTATTTCAACATCAACACGTTGGGCTTACGATAATATGCTACTCAAGTGAGCATCAATATTATTTCACAACATTATCCACTTCCATTCTCCATGTTATACCCAATTTAAATTTACATTTAGCCTCACACGTCACATCCACATACTAATACAACTACATCATCATCATATCACATGTCATATATTATAAATTTCTCATTTCAACGCACATTAATACTTCAAGAAATTCATTTTGAATTCAACTTCACACTTATGTAAAATTAAGATTAATATACTTACATATGGTTTATAGCATGCTTTCACATTTACAAATTTACTCACACATATAAATAAACCCATTTTTTATATTGAAAATTCAATTAACAAATAACTATCCAAAGTAAGATTTTCCTAGTTACCTCAAACTTTTAAGAGGATAAAAGTTTAACCCTCAATTTCTTGCTTCCAAGCTTCTTTTTCCAAGCCAAATATGGTACTCGAACGATTATTTTATAATTAATCAAGTTTGAATTCATCAATATTACTGAAAACCCATTTCTAACTCTCATTTTCCACTTTTAAAAATTTCCAATACCCTTATTCTCACATTTAGGCTTATCCATTAGGTGCATTAACTCTTTTCAGCATTATATAGTATTATTAAACTCTTACATTATCATTAATGGCTTCTAACCATCTTAAAAATCCACATTATTGGCTCATGTTCAGACATTAATGAGGCTCACCAACCAAAAATGTCAAAACTCATAATATAAGTTTAAATGCTCAATTTTTCTTAACTTTATTTGAGTCAATGGGTTCAAAATTATAACCTATATAGACTGAAAATCACTTCTATCACAAATTCTAACTTTCAAAACTTAAGAAAAATGACAAAAAGATGGAGAAGAAGGACTTTGGAACTTACCTTTAGTGATTAATAGCTTTAAAATGCTTTAAATACCTTTTAAAGATGAACCCTAGTAGAGCTTCTTGCTCCGTTCGTGTCTCTCTCGCATTCTCTCTCTCCCTTTCTTTTGTTTTTTGTCTTAGTTTGCATCTCTTTTTCTATAAAAAATGGGCCACATGCCATGGTGTGTAGCACAAAAAGGTTTTGTCTTTTTGCTTTAGTCCATTGTGTCGTGGTGAACAATGCTCACACCGTGATGTGTGGTATAGAACTACACACCTTCATTCTCTCTCTCTCTCTCTTCCTTTTATTTTTTGTCTTAGTTTGCATCTCTTTTTCTATAAAAAATGGGCCATATTCCATGGTGTGTAGCATAAAAAGTTTTATCTCTTTACTTTAATCCATCATGTTGTGGTGAACAATGCTCACACCATGATGTGTGGTATAGAACTACACACCTTCATTTTCTCTCTCATTTTAGCCTATATGGCTCTTACTCAGCCTCAAACCCACATCCTAAGGTCATTATTAAGCTCAAAAGGTTCTTTAATCCTCTTAAACCATTTCCTATATCGATTTTACTAAAATAAACTTGATTAATTAATTCATTGCAATCCAAATATTAAAATTTGGAATGTTATAAGGGGGATCCAAATCTAAAAATAAGACAAAACATGTTTGGCTTGGTGGTTCTACGATGAGCTTGGATCAGTATACAATACTGGCCCAATATATAACCTATGAATTCAGTCAGAGGTAGATACGAAGGTTCGGTTAGACAAGATGATCAATCATGCATGTGACAATATATATTTAGGGGGGTGTGCGATTATTATAGTTTGTAGTATGTGATTAATAATAATAATATTTTATTTACTTGTTTATAGTTTACTTGGTAGTAGATAGCTTTTAGTTATTTTGATTACTAGGACTCTGTCTCATTCAATATGTTACTATTTTTCAAGTTCTGACGCTATTAGGAGCAGAGGGAAAGACCTAAACTAGGAGTAGTGGATTTGGTACATTGCCCTTTTGAGTTTTTGTAATGAATTTATTGTGTTGTAAATAATAATGTTATAAGTTGTCATAGGAATACATACATGAATTTGGTTGTACTTGTATGATTGTGTGTGCATATCTTAGTCTTGAGATATGAAAATGTGTGAAATGTGACATTAAGGGCAGATATACTAGTATAAGTGCAAGGTTATGTGTTTTGAATTAGTTGTAGCATGTGAAATTTAGCTAGAGGGTGCATGTGTGTGTGTGTGTGTAAATGGCCTTATCGTGATGTAAATTAGGGTGTTTGAGTGGCTAAAGTGTATTGTGATGGTGTTTTTGTTGATATAAATGTTCAATTAGGTGAATAATGTCTCAAAAATATGGTCTAGACCTTAATGGTAGCTAATGGCACAAGGTGGTGATTTGGGATGCTCAGATGAGGGAGAATGGTCATTTTACATTCAGGTGTCTAATTTTTAAATAAAAAATTAGATTGAGGTGAAACTTGTATCAATACTTAATTAGATTATGAAATAAATTGCGTGTGGATACTTAAATCACTCTAGTCGGATATTGTATGTGAAAATGGCTCACGTTGAAAGTTCATCTCAAATGAACAGTCATTGTGGAGGGTTTCTTGTTTTGATGTTCTCATGTTTTGAGATTTGGTGGAGGTGGGCACAATGCTTCTTGGGGATGATGAACAATGAAGACAATGGAGGACTTCTTTTTTTTTTTTTTCTAACTTAGAGGTATTTTGGTCTTTACAAAATATAATTATATTTATTAGATATAATGTTTATCTCACTTCCATCTGTATATCAAACATACTTTTAAACCTTATTTCCACCTCCATCCCATTTTCACTTTCATTTTTATTTCCACTTTTACATTCATTTTAAACACTGCTCTGTACCAAATGGCACATTAGTATTTTCAATGCAAGCTTTTTGTTTTTTTTTTAAGTCCATTATGGATATGAAGGCAATATTATGTTGATCAGGAGCAAATGGTTTAGACCCGCTCAGAGTTTAGATACGACGCTTTTACTTGACATTTTTATGTCTAATTCAATATATTTTGCGCCTTCTTATGACTAAATAGTTAATAATCAGCGATATGTAGTTTCCCTATATAAACAAATACAATAAATTACTGAAATATTGTGCTGTTTTCCTTTTTGGTGCCTTCCCATGAAGGCAAAGGCTTGTCTTGGAATTAATCAATAAATTACTATATAAATATTAGTTGGAGGGGAATAGCCAAGTATTATAATTCAGCAGAAATGAGCCATGCCACCATGCAAGTGTGAACCTCGAAAAAGGTTCCTCAGGAGATTGAAAGATCCAAGGCATGACAACAATATTTACAGTGAAATGACATCGTATTTGAGGCAAAGCACATGTATACATTGTCATTAGATCCAAAATACGAAATTGGTGAGGAGCCCATGGTTGGAAGATAACGTATTTCATTATTATTAAAACAATATCTGGCACTTTTATTTATTTTACTCCATGCAATTTTCCCAGTGTAAGAAAGAAAATTAAAGATTATATACATAATCGTTGGTCAACCATCCTGAAAATTATGATTGAGGAATAAATTTTAAATTGTCGGCTGTTAACAAATCACGCGACAGCATGTTTTGTGATGGCGTGAAGCTTTATATCTTTCAAGTGCTTATTAAGAGCTAATTTTTGACTCTGTGGTATGTATCTATATATGTTGTTCAAAATAATAATAATAGCAACCAGTCTTTTCCAGTAACCAATACAATTAGAGGAGAGATTACCAGTGATGTTGCCTAAAACAACGTGAACATACAATTCAGAAAAAATGAAGGAATTGTTTTCGTTTTCATATGCATATATAAGGAGTACAATAGCTTTTGTTAAGCAATACTTCATTTTTTTTTCTTAAACAGGTAACACGTATTATGGTTATAATTATCTGAATTATACTATCATTATTTAAATTTGCATATTTTGAATTGACAAACTTGTGTAACGCATGGGGCTGTGACTAGTTATATGCCTTTAACAATGTGAACAAACAATTAAGAAACTACGAATTCGTTTTCATATACATAAGGCGTGCATAGCGTGCTTGATGGAGAAATGAATTGTGTTCAATCACATAAACGAAAGAAATATGGTAACTGAGGTCCGAAACTAAAATCGAAATAGTCAGAATATTTTGAAGGGGCAGAAATTAAAGCTAATACGGTTTAACTGTTAATTGTAAATCTTAGGTATCAATTACTAAGTACTAACACATTTCTAAGTACATCCATCACAACGTCATTAGCAAACTACTTAGTAAGTGCGAGTGGCTATGATGGAAGTGGGAATCTAGAAATGACGGGAACGAAGATAAGTATGGTTTTTTTTTTTTTTTTTTGGGGGGGGGGGGAGAGGACAAAACGAAAGAAGATGAAAGAAAATTACTACTTCAAAGAAGAATCTGTACTCAGTTTGATCTCCCAGATCAATGAAGTGTCATTTTTTAAGAGATATACTGTCTACCGCGGGAGCCTTCTTTATATACCCAAAAAACGACGGAGGATTGAATCTCACATATATGCTCTACTCCTCTCGATCGCTCTTTTTATTTATTTGTATCTGACAGGCAAGAACTGCATGAGAGGGACAAAGAAAGGAATTCAGTTCAGAGATGTGTACTGCATAAAACACCACCTCATATCTACCTTCATATATATATATATATATATATATATTCAACGGAAGGATTTAATAACCATTGGAAATCAACATGTAGGGGGGAAGGCATGCATCAGCATCCATTAGTGTGTGTGTACACACACACACACTGTTAATTAATGCAGCAAAGTCTAACATGCTTTTCTATAGGTATATATTTTTTCAATTATTGGGTCTCTCCTATATATATATATATATATATATATAATATCTTCACACCATTTCCGAATTCACCTTCGCATTGTGTGCGTGATTGCATTAATTAAATCAATGAACACTTCATGCAATTTAAAAGTATTTTCTTGTAAATACTTGTTGGGATGCCCCTGCGAATAAGTTCTGAAGACTGAAGAGAGTATATGGCGCAAAGCCTCTTTGTTTCAACGTGACAGAAAACACACATACACATTAATATATGTTAAACTGCAGATATTCACTACAATTGATCATGACAATCAAGATAATAGATTTTCAACATTAGCATGAATCATCTAATAACTTGGACAGGAAAGCAGACTATATTATCATTACGATATATGGATGGCTCAGAAGCAGACAAAACCTGTTGAGCCCGGCGTTTCGAAAAGTCTTCTACATTATACCAACTTTTTTGGCTGACATGTCGGTTTCATCAAATTCTCTTTCAGAGAATAAAATCTCCATGTTCTCTTTCATTAGGTAGACAGGAACAATCACACTAAGGCTAATGTGATATTCAGGGGACACAAAAACGAATGAGAGCATATCTGATAGCCACGGCCAAGGTCTTCGATTTGACATGATACCGAATGCCAATTACATAAACAAGCCTACAGTTAAGTCGTTTTTTCCTTACTAGTTCAGAGTTCGGATCATAATTATTGTACACCTTTCTTTAAACACAATTCTCAAGCCAATCAAGTTTTAAAAAAAAAAAACGCCAGCAAAAATCCAAACTGGCCATAAATTATTGCTGCTCATAATTGAGCAACGGGACATCCTTCGTTGTGAAAAGAGGCCATTCCCCAAACCTACCCTTTGTTTGCTTTATGATATGAGTACTTATAAAAGCTTTCTGCTGCCACCAAACACTATTGCCACAGTTATGAAAGAGCTAGCAAATGATACATATCAAGAAAACATAGAAAAGAAAGTATGGAACTCCATCATAAATGCAGAGAATCAAAAAATAAGGAAAATCCACAAGATCGAGAGGCCTACATCAACATCCATATAGATTACAACAAAGGGGGAGGTTTGTTCGGCAAAAAGGAAACCCATTAATATTTTTTGCAGGCATTAAAAATTAAGTGATGAAACAGACAAAACAAAAATACCTAGGTTGAAGATTGTTTCACTAAACAGGCGGGCTGGCGCTAGTGCTGCAAAAATGGAAAGATCAACAAGAAAGGCAGATGCCACTCCTACCCTCCTCGCTTTCTGACTGTTGCTGATGATGGGGTTGCTGTGACTGCTGGCTTTGTTGCTGTGGTTGCGGCTGCTGAGGGGAAAGCATCAGCTGGGCTTGAAGCTGATGGTGGTGGTGTTCGGCTTGCGGCGGTTGCATCTGGCCGCCGTAAGGGCTGTCGAAGGAGCCAAGAGCCAAGGAAGGAGACATCTCGGTGGGACTAGCAGTTGAAGATATGTGATTGTTGAATCCACTCCCAGAAACTGAACCCACATCGTATCCACCGTTGAACCTCAGAAACTCTTGCTGCTGTTGCTGCTGCTCATAACCTCGGAACATATCTTGCTGTTCTCTCGCCCCCACGGCGGCAGCCAATTGCTGAGCGTCCAAGATCTGATGCTGTTGGGAAGGGTCGCGAATCACCAGTTGGCCGCTATGAGAAGAGCCACCGGCCTGAATATTGGTCATAGGCGCAGGCGGTGGCATGTTGTTATAGGGATAGGCGGTGGTGGAAGAATATGGGTTGTTTGGGTGTTGCGGTGGGATCATACCAGAAGGTGCCAGAATGGTGGGAGGCATGGCCTGAAGAGCCTGAGGGCCAATATACGTGGCGAGCTCCTTCTTGGCATTATTGAGTTCGACTTGGATCTGCCTGAGCCTGTGCTGAAGGATGGAGATGAGACCCACACAGCCATAGACTGGGTCCCGGAGACGGGCCTCGGCTTCGTAAGCCAGAGACTTGACGGCGTCGTCTCTCTGCGCAGCGTTGAGCTCATTGAGAAGCTTAGCGACATTGCTTGCCCCGAATACCCTGTGGACGTAAGCGAACCTCTGGGGGTTGTCCGGCGGGAAGTACGGTGCGAACACGCATTCTTGCGTGCATTTCCGCCTCAGACACTTGCACGCAGCGCACGGAGAATTCGATGATGACATTTCTCGATCTCCACTGAGACAACTGCTATTAAAAAAAAAAAAAAGATACCCAAAGATATATCCGTAAAATGGACGATCTTATTTGTCTCTCTCAATTAAACGTGAAACATTAAACAGCACTGTTATTTCAACAAAGAGGTTTAAACTCTGAAGCGAAAGATAGAGAATCAGACGGGCGTGTAATTAAATATTAACACTAACAGTATATAATAGTATAATCAAACATGGAAATGAGGAAACGCACAGACAAATAAATGGGCGATAATTCAATGAAGCTTCATACGGCGATTGTTTATTATACATTAAAAAATCGACGAATAATAATTAAAAATACTCAAAGTCTATCGGAGCATCTGTCTAATAATCAAAGCCAATATCGTTCTCGAAAAGGAACCGACATGAAACGGGTCAAAACGATGGTGTTGAATCTGCAGAACTGCCCAAAGCCCCAGTGAAATTCTGAAACAATAAAATTTTAAAACAAGAAGAACGAATAAGAGCAAGAAGGAAAAAGAATTTTAAAAAATATCTATTCAGTACGAAAAATCTCGAATAAACAAATCACGTTGCACCGGTGGGATCCGGATATGGCGTCATTTGCGTGCTAGTGAAGTTTGAAGGAGGCGAGAATCAAAATTTAAGTGATGAGATCTATTCGCCATTTGATGACCCAAGTTCGTAAACGTTCATACCAAAGATACTAATCAAATTCAAAACTGACTATATGTATATAGAGAGAAAAAGGGGGTGTGTTGGGGGGGAGAAAGAGCTCACTGTGGTCTTTAAATGGAGGCGAGAGTGCGTGCAATAGAATATGCAGAATAACGAGGAGGTGAAGGGCGAGCGGGAGGAGAACGATGGAGACGGTGCCTTTTCTACTTTCTTCAGCGCCACTGCCACAAGCAAACAGCGTTGGGACCTGGCTTCATCTCTTTCTTTTCGACCCGCCCTCGTCACTCAATCTCCTATATTATTCATTATTTGCACTCTATATACTTTTTTATTGTTTAAAAAACAAAAGATATATTCTTTGATAGTGGGTAAATCGGATTTTTTTTATATCTATATATTGCCGTTCCGTGCTCATGAATTATGAGAAAATAAACACTTATACGTATTTATATTATATTAATCATAGGTGATGGGAGATCGAGAGACTGTAAGTTATTTTACTCACTTTTTTTTTTTGAAAAATACTCATGTGTTTCTTACGTTAACTCTTTAACTCAATTTACAAGTAAACAATGTAGCGTACACGAGGGTGATTAAATTATAATACAGCTTTTTTAGCTTTTTCAATTTCTTTTTTGCTACTTTCAAGTTCAACTATTCAAATCATAGGTTTTCCCAAAATAGGAGTTGAATACGAGTATAACCAACCCAGTGCAATCCTTTAAGGAAATATAACCATAATTTTTTTGTTTCCATTTTGAACAGTTCTCTCATTAATTAATTTATGATTATGATACGGTCAAATTTCATTTAGCTGACTATCACTGATTTGTTATTTCATCCCGGCCAGTCATTAATGTGTGATTTGAAGTCATTTATGGAGTTTAAAAGTAGCACTTCTTTAGAGGGAAAAAAACAATATTTAAATAGCTTCCATATATAAAAAAAAAGGCCGAACCTACTTAATAGCACATCCTGTTATCATAATTGATTCAAGATAAAATTCAGGGATGAATGATTTGATCATGATATCGTGAAAGGACTTGGATTGCCAACTACTTCGTCCATGACAAATTATAGATTTGGCGTCATAGAATAAAAAACACATTGATAAAAATAAATGTTTTTTAATAATATTTTTTAATATTATATTTTTTTTGTAGATGGAGTAATAAACTTAAAGCATTTTTAAAATTTTATATTTTTATTGATATATAAAATTTTATTTAAAAATATTTTATAATTGAAAACGGAATGTATGTTAGTTTTGATTCTTTGAAACTATGCATGCCTCCGTGGCATAACCCGAGTTCTTCGAGTGAGCCAAAAAAATAAAAAGGAAATGGCTAGAAGATTATACAAAAATACTTGCAAGGTTACAAAGGCGTTTAAAAATTTCATCATGTAAATGAAAAGACGGTGGATACGCGAAGCCAGAGAGGACACAATTTTTACTGTAGATGGTACAAGATGGAAGGGAGTTAATTAGTCGGATTTTGAAATGAAAAGAAGAAGATAATAAAGGCCAGGGGGGGAGAGTTAAGTGGAGGATCAGGCTTTTGCTGGCAAACGCAATGATTACTGTATATTTTTCTGAAGCACACGTCCGTGTACCGTGCGCGTCAACCCTATTGTCACCACTCTCGTACTGTCTCCACCACTTTTGTCTCCATCCGTCCCCCTCCTTCCAAGGGGCACTTTCGTCTTCTCACTCCTCCTTTTTAACTATTTATCACCCAAAAACAATAACAGGTGTGTGAAAGAGGCGAGGGAGAAAGGATGGGCCGCGCAGTCAAAGGGATGCGCTGAGAATTGGTTGGGCGAATAGAAAGAGGGATGGAAGCAGCGAGTCCGAGCACACAATTGGTTTGATTGACGTTGGTGTTTTTGATTGATGAATGAATTTATTGGAAGTGACTCAACCTTAAGCCCACCACTGGGCCGCCTTAGTTCCCCATCAATCAATATCTACAATCACCCACCCTCCACCCCTCCGCTGTTTGTTTATTACTCCCTCCGATCCTATTTATAAATCATTTCTATCAAGCTCATCAATACCAATACAATAAAAGTAAGTAAAATTCTAAACATACCCCTATATAACAAATCTAAAAAATAATGTCCTGTTACTTTTTCTCTCTCATGAAGGGTAATTTTGAAAATACCTCTCAAATATTACTTAAAAAGACGCACCGTGACTTATAAATGGAACCAAATATACCTTCTAAAATTGGACTTATAAATGGGACCGGAGGGAGTACATATATTCTTTTTATTTAAGAATATAAAATATTTTTTTAAAAATTTAATATTTAAAATATAATATATTTTAAATTTTTTAAGATGTAATTATTATCTTTTTTAAAAAGTATCTCTATTGATAATAATTTTATATTTATTACAGAGTATTTAATAAGGATATGAAAAGATAGGATTAATTTAAAAATAAGTAATTATTTTATTAAATAATAAAATTTAATTAAAAATATTTTACGAAAAAAAGTAGAATCTAACTTAGTGATAAAGGAGGCTTTCATTGACGTTTAGTTTCCCCAGGTTCGACGTTTCATGCTGGAGAGATCTGTCTAGCTTCCTGGGGCGTCTGTATAATTTTATCATTCTGATCATGAAGTTGACCGGTCCAAATGCGAACATTAGTAGCCGCATTTAAAAAACTCGTGATGGATAGCGTGGCGTGGTGGCATGCATGTAGTGGTGGAGGAGAAGGAGAGGATAATGAAATGGTAATAAATAAAAAAGAGGGAGGGGTGGGTGAGGGGAGTGAGTGCAGGAGCAGGGACCAAAAGAAAGCAGCGCAGAGACTCAGTGTGTTGGTGAGCAATTGCGTACAGAATGATTCATCTCATTTAATGTATTCCCTTCGGCACCGTCTCGTGTTTTCGTCCTCTCACGTTCTCTCTCATGTACCCCCTTTGTCACTCTAACAACCCTTCTCCACTTTACAAGAGTCCCCCATTTTAACATTATTTCATTATTACAAATGTGCGTGTGTGTGAACTAACTTTAATCTCAGTTAGATGTCAGAGTATATATCTATTAGATGTTAGCTTTTAGCAACTTAACAGGGCCGTGACGAAATCTAGAATGGCTGTACCGGCTAGCACACGATGCTTTTGATTATACTGCATCAAACATAATTGATGATTAATTTGCGTGGCCGAACTTATAATATCAGGTTGTTAACTATAACATATATATATATATATATATACTTGTCAGTGGAATCTTAATTATATTTGGTGAGTGTACATGTATATAAAGGCAACAGAAAGAAAGAGAAAAGGTGGGGGAGGGGTGTTTTTGGGATGGAAGGAAGAAAAAGGAGCAGGTTGGGGGAGCAGAAGGTGCATTCACAAGAGTCTGAGGGAGAGCAGCGGAACAGAGACATGCAAAATCTTCTTCTGGTGGCTTCCTTCCTTTTGCCAAATGCTTTTTGTCGCTGTTGACTTTTTCTCTCCGAAAACCCCGTCACGTGCATGGATTTGACAACATGGAATGAATTCCGAGGTACTCCCTCCCTCCTCTTCTTATTATTCATTTTATTAAATGAACGCCTTGAATATTCTGATCCCATCATTAACGCCCCCCCTTGTACTCTCCTCTCTCCCCCCCCCCCGGCTTCAGTCTCACCCTACTCTCTCTCCGCCCGCCCTCCTTCCAAATTTTACCTGCTTCCGGTGACCCACCTGTGTTCAACACGATTATATAATATCAGCGGTTCGTGTAACTCCAAGAAAACTTGTTAACGGGCCATATTTCCCAGTCTTGGATATACAATATGGAATATTCATTTCATTCTTTTTTATCTGTGATATACTACTAATAATTTTAATTTGGACTCAATGTAGAATGTTAAAAAGAAGTCACAGTAATAGTGTTATAAATATTAAAATTTCAAGGGGGTTGGTGTTCGGACTTGGGAAAAACTGGAGTGCAGGAGTGATAATGGGAATTGATAAAGTTAAAAAGTGGGGATGATGAGCACTCAGAAGGAGGTTGTCATTAATGTGTTGGAAGGAAACAAGACAAGTCACCTACAATTTTCAAAACAATCTCTCTCTCTCTCTCTCTCTCTCTCTCTCTCTCTCTCGATGAAGGGGTGAAGTTCTGAAAGTCTCAGCAGAGTGAGCTAGCGTGTGCGGCGTGCGATCCAGCATGGGCAACCAAATTGAGTTCTGCTCCACCACTCTGTCTACAGTGCCTTTCGCAGTTTCGCGTTATTGCCTATCGGTTCTGCTTGAGTTTCCCACCACCTATTTTTCCCTTTTCTTTTTTCCTGGGTACGGTTTCTTTTTTCGATTTTGATAAACAGAGAGGGCCATAGCCTGAAACTAAATGCAGGAAATTAAACAGAGTGGGAGCTAAATCCCATTTTATCTTTAAAAGCAAGAGCCTTTAGAGTAGAAGGGACCATGTCATAGAAATCCGAGGCACTGAAGCCCGACTCTGCTAAACCATCCGCAACTTCATCGCATTCTCTTCCCTAGGCTTAGAAGGATTCTTCTCATCCGAAGACTGGCCCAATTCAGACCCGCCTCGCTTTCTGCAGGCCCACGAATGAAGCATTTAAGCCCAAGTGTTGCAAATAGCTCATGGAGCTCAAATAAACGGTTTTTTGGGGGTGGTGGATGGTGTTGGGTTTTGCAATATCATTCATCACGAGTATGTGGAAAATGATAATATCGTTTCTGTCTTTCCTTTCGAAAGTGATATAGAAACCAGTATATAAAAATGAAACGAGTTAAAGCAAAAATAGTGAATGACTTGCACACACTTCGATTTAGCTTCACGGGCCGCTCATACTCCTCATAAGAAGGAGGTTAAATTAAAGTATATATTTAATCATGTAATTTTATATCAGGCTTTATTTTAGTCTATTAATTTTATAAATTTTTTATAGTCTATTAACTTTATAAATTTTTTGTAGTCTATTAACCTTAACATTATTAGTTTCATCTTAATAAATTTTTATATTAAAGTTTTAAATATTAACAAAACATTCTTAAATATTAATATATTAAGTTTAATTGTTTTAAAATAATAATGATTGGTATAAAAATAATCATTTTAAACTAACAATATTAAGATTAAAAGACTAAAAAGATATTTTATAAAATTTAAAAATTAAATTAAAATTTTATATAAAGTTAGAGAATTAAAAGCATATTTTAACCTAAAAAGGAAACGACAATGATAAAACTAAATTAAAATAATTAAGGTTTAAAAAAATAGGGATAAATAATTGAAAGT